CTCACCTCCGCTGACTCAGTGATGTAGGAGACTAATTTAATGCAACATGGCCGATCGGACTGCAGTCACTTTCAGAAAAATTGGAATTAGTACCACATATTACAGTGACACGGATCGCATATAAAAAAAATCAGATCTGTGCCGTTCAGACTGCCATAAAAAAATCAGATATGGGTCGCATGTGGGGAAAAAAGCATATTTAATGCGCTTTTGCCTGCAGTGTGAACATAGCCTTAGTCATGCCCATCTACTTCCGGACCATGGGTCCCCGGAAGCACGAAGAAATGAATGCTGGTCAATGGGGATAAAAGTGCTATTTTCTAATTCTGCTTGTTACGTGCCATGGATTTCACATATGATGTTGGTTAATTTTAAAGATGCATTTTGATACCAAGAAAGCACTTATTTTTGAACGGGGGAACGATATTTTAGGTTTTGTGTGAAAATAAGGCCAGAACTACAGATGCGCTTCACGAAAATGTCATCGAATCAAAATCTGAGAGAAACTGATGTAAGTTCAGCAAACAGCAAATCCTTCCTTCAGGAGGAGAAAGCCATGGACCCATGAGCTGACCGGAAAGGGAGGAGACTTCTGGACCACACAATGTCGGGGAGGGGGATAAAAGCCGCAGCAGCCACAGAGTCATACTGACTGAGTCACTAAACTGGAGTTAAATCATCTCGGCCTGGAAGTTGGTTGGTGCGCTTTCTATGTCAGCAGCAAACACATTACTGAGCTGTTACAATCCATTTCTGGGCTTCAAAGTCTGCTAATTGCTGAGTAAACTCGGCGCTGAGTAAGAGGATTGTTCTCAGTTTGTCCGAGGCAGAGGAGGTAACGCTGCAGATGCTGATGCTAGTAGCATGGACGCTACTGACTGTAAAGACATACCAGTTTTTCTCCTTGAAGCATCAACATGTTCCATCTTTGTTGAAACACCCTTCTTTCTGCATCAATCTTTCTCTTCCTGGACATTTTGGAATAATGTGTGGACAGTTATTTTCACTTGTTGCATTAATTAAACACGGAGGTGGATACACTGCGACGTAATTCTTCAGAATTTAAGAAACAATTTTCTTGAAGTAAATGCCATCTTTAATTGACCTATATTGAAAAAATTGATCAGCCTCTGTTTCGTCTTCTCCGGTATGATTTTTTTTAAAACCTTGTCTAGAATAACTTTTTCATTCAAGATTTGCTGCAATGGTTTTAACAGTGGAATATGCTGAAATGACCATTTCTTTTTACTGTCAAGAATGTAAGAAACTGGTTCCACAACTCCAAAATTTTCCTTTTAAGTATTTTTTTTTACATAGATAAGTGCTGAGAATTCCACCCTTTTCTAAAAGTTTTGCCACAGGGTGTGAGTTTATAAATGTGCTAATTTCTGCAACAGCAGAGTCTTCAACTTCAATGTGATACTTTTTCAAGATGTCTTGTACAAAATTTCTTGACAGAGGTATTGATACGTCAGTTAGAAGGTAATGTATTTCTTGCTAAAATTCATCTATAGCTGTACCCGGGCAATGGATTAAATACTAGGGATGAGCGAGTACACCACTATCTGTATCTGTTCAAGCAACTAAATTATCTGTATCTGTACTCGGAATGGGCGTGACATAACCCGGAAGTGGGCGTAGTTTAACAGGAAGTGGGTGTGGTTTACATCAGTATATTATTTTTAGTCTGAAATTGATATGGAATGATCAGAAGTTGATATGTGTATTGTTTATTTGTAAACTATTTACAGAGCAGTCTCAGAATTGAGATTAAATATTTTTGATCATAATAGTAAAGGAACTATTTCAGAACAAGTGTTTCAATAAAATTAGAACATTAATATTTAAGTGCATGGATTAATACATCTGAACTCATGCAGTAGGAACTAAGAAATATGAAATACTAGAACCAGACACAACTTTATGAATATTTTTTTTATTTTAATTTGATTAAACTGATTTTTTTCTTAACGTTCTTGGCATTTTGCCCCACACAAAGTTAAACAAAACAATGTTGATTAAGGTGTGTGTGTCTGAGAGAGATTAGAGAGGGAGAGGGATGGAGTTAAAAAAAAACCCGACCGGAGTGGAGGTAGTGAGTGACTTGATGCAGAACGTCAGCTCTGTCTTGTCAAATGCACCATGTAAGTTACGAAAAAAATATTCTACCGAAAAAGAGGCGAGCTGAAGAAAACCTAGGGAAAACTGAAGAAACATGAGCAACAGTGAAGCAATCACAGCTAGATCCGTTACTGTCTGCGTGTGTTGAAAATATATGTAACTCTCATATAAGCTCTTTTATTATTCATTGTTATATGCTACTTTTTTCATTATGGAATCATGTTATAATATCAAAGGCCTCTCTGTGCTTCTCTCCTGCACGAACTCTAAACAGCTGCAGGAACTCCAAAAGGGAGTGAAAGTGTTCCTTCCTTCAGTTCCTCAATACAAGAACAACTGTCTTTGTTAGCAAAGGATGTTGCAGGATGTGTCCTGGTCATCTCAAGGTTGCATGTCCTTGGGATGAATTGGTCTTTCATTAACAAGGCTATTAGCTGACGTGCGTCTGCAGGTGCAGATGGCAGAATTACGTGTGTGTATGGCAAACTGCGTATGTCACATTCCTGTACTTCTCAATAAAAATCAGCCGTTTCAGCAGAACAGAGAGAGTGTCTGAAGCAACTGTCAGGAGCAGATCGAGGGATCTGCTGGAGTTGCAAAGCCTCTCCCCCTCATGAGCGGTGAAAACAGTGACTGGACTTCTGATCATTTGACTCCACATTCTGCCAACTCAAAAGGTGTTTAACTCCATCTTCTCCGTACCTGTGCTTGGTCTAACAGAAGAAAGACCAACAGTGTGCATGGATGAGCCGGACGGACTGCGCTCCCGGCTGGCTAGAGAGTTTTGTGTGTAGGGAGGGGCGGGCTCTCTATGTGACTGGCCAATCACAGAGCGTGAAGACAGACAGTTACCCAATGAGGATTTTCCTTCAGCACGATTACAGATATTTACCAAGTTTACTCTTGTCATGCTCGTATTCGTCAAAAATACTTTATCCGTACCGGATACTCGTCTGAAACGGCTCATCCCTACTAAATACTCCATCTTTAGAAGGGCTGCAGCAAGCTGCTTCTCAACTGCACCTTTTAGACCTTGAACTTGACCACTAGCTGGACTTTCTTCTACACTCCATTCATCTTGGTCTGGAAATGGCTAATTATCTGATGACAAAGAAGCTAACATGTGACTTAACAACACCAGGTTTAAAATCAGTTAGGGAATGAGGTGTATGCCTGCGATTTTTATGGGATTTAAAAGTTCCATATATAGATGTTTCAAATGAACAACCAGCAAACATACAACTAATATTTTCGTTATTTTTTTAGTGAGCAGCTATATGAACAAAATATTCTTTTTCATTTGCCTAATATTAAGATGAACATAAATGGCAATTGAACAAATACAGCTCTTTTGGATTTTGATTTGTTTGTGAAGAGTGTTCTCTACTTTGATGAATTAATAATGCATTCCATGTCTTAAATTTACAGGCACATACCAAGTGTGTGCATGGATAACCACTGCTTCGTCCAAAATGTGGGTGTTAGTTTATAATGATGTAGCAGAGCAAGTCTACCTTCAACTGACACCAAGCTTTCCTTACATTTCCACATGCACTAAAAGAGATAAAAAGAAAAAGAAATATCACATAATTAGTGCACCTGTTCACATAAATAAAAAAAACAAAAATCAATGACGAAAAATCTCCAAATTGGTATAATATATAAAAAAGAAACTTACCACTGCTACAGAGCCTTCCCGTGGTATATTGTGGTTCAAAGTTCAATAGACAAGACTCTGCCGATCAAGAAATTATTTTTTTCTGTTTCTGGAAGGGAAACAAAATAATAATCGTCAGATTCAGTAAACAAAGAAGGCAAATCAATCCTACCAGCAGAGGACAAATTTACCCCAACAAGTTTTAAAGGAAGGGGTGATTTTTTTTATCATTGATGTACCAATATATTATAACATTTGATTTTCAACATAAAGAATTTATAATGCACCAGTGGTAAATAAAATAAACATTTTGTGATTGTTATGTAAATAAAAAATTTGAAACGGACAATAAAAACAGCAGCTTCTTTAAATATTTTATTTATTGCCATGTTTTCTTTTTTGTTAGACTCTCTATTTTTATTATTCCAGATCAGTTACTTTCTTTGTGAGCTGTTAACCAAAGTGCATGTGAATGTAACTTTTCAAATAAATGTTAGTGTCTGAGCTATTGGACCCTTTATAAAGAGATTTGACATACAAATTAAATTTTTGTTTTAATTAGGGGCACACTTTTACTATGCCCGTTTTTTTTTTGTGCAGCCTATGCACAAAAAATGCAACCAGCATATTATTAGGAGCAGATAAGGTAGAATTACATTTACAAGTAAGATTGAATATTATATTCTGTTATTTAATCATTCATAACAATTATGTATCTTTTTATTTACCTATCAAAACAATAATAACGCCATTAACCATAACTCTCTCACCACCTTATATTTATTTATTTACTTACTTATAATTATCTCTATAATGCTGAAAACTGTCACGTGAAGTGGCCTGTGCAAGCCTCATTATGTTTATGTTTATGTATTTAGCAGACACTTTTGTCCAAAGCAACTTATATGTGCAAGCTGCCCTTTGACCGAGCTAGCACCTGCTTCAGAGCCTGACTTGTCAAAGCACAACAGAACCATGTCTTGGTGCGTCCTTCCTCAACCACTTCATTAAAATTGAGAACGGTTCAGAAGACGTTTTACCAAAGACAGAGACATTGCAGAAATGCAATTCGGGATTGTCAACCATAACTTTATGCTCGTCATTTGTTGAAAGAAAGTAAAGCACAACACCAACGACCCTGAAGTTACAAAGTGCCAGCAAAAAAAGTTCTTAATTAAAGAGCAAGTAACGTCTAAATTAACTTTTTTTGGCTGATGAACTGTATAAATGAGTGTCTAATAGTGTTTTAAATGTGTGCATTCTTTATTTTAGCATTTTGGTGCATTTTCTTTAAAAATTAAAAATTCTGTCTAAAAACCACAGTAATGCGCCACCTTCAGCTGAAAACATAGAATTTGAGTCATTTTGAATAAATTTTAGCCAATGGCTAAAGAGTAAAGTACTACGTAAACCAGTAGAGTACTACGTAGCAGCTCCGTGCCAAAGTTATAAAAGCAACGAGCCTCTCGGCCACGCCCTGTGGCGAGTGGGAGTTGGATTTGCAAGCGAGCGTAGGAGGTCAGCGGTAGTTCAGCATTAGCATATAGCATTAGCATATCCTAGTCTTTAGCATATATTTTAGTGTTATAAATACTTATTTAGTGTTAGCTTGGCTGTTGGATATTGTAGTTTAGTTAGTGTTTGGCTGTTAGTGTAATTGGGAAAGTATTTCGGGTTTAGTGTTCCATATCGTCTTAGTATTGGTGAGTAGGTGTAGTGTAGTATGCTTGCGGTGACTCTGTGGGCATTTTACCCGCGATTCTGCACGCCTCCGTTTGAAGAGGGAGGCTGCCCACCGTGGCTCTTCCGCGATTTAGATGCAGCCCACCGACTCTGCTCCCCCACCACGGCGGGCTCCAGTCTGAGGTGAGTAAGCTAAATAAACGTTTTAACGTCTTCTAAAGACAATTCCCTACCTAAATGCAAAGTCTGAGAGACGTGGTTCACTTCCTTTAGCTAGTCAGTCGGCAATTCTGCAACAGTGGCTCTAACTAACGCAGCACTAGTTGACCGACAGCATTACAGCGTGAAATCCAGCTTGTGACCCAGTTCTGTAAGGAATTCTGTTCAGGAGGTCACATTTCAGGCTCTCCACATCATGTGTGACTGACTTTTACGTTATAACAACGATCACACACTAGGAATGTTATAAAGCGCCTATATAAGAGATTCTTTTGTATTTTATCTGACTTTATAAACTCCAACAACAATGTGCTTCTATTTTTTATTTCAGGCTAAATCTACCCAAGACACTGGCTGTCAGACTGATTTAGCTGCAAGAATGCACTTGTCCAGGCTGACGTGAAACCTTCCCTGTAGCAAAGGTGAATTATTTTTAATAATCTTCTATGTAAACATTTTATTATCACCTTCTAGTTTTAATTTGTTTTACAGATTATTGTTACACGTGATTTTATGCTCTTTTAAACATTTATAAATGTGCTGCTTCTTTGTTTTTACATAGCCAGCCAGAATGGAGTTTACAGCCGCAGTGTGTCTGGTGACCCACCGGGATCATGACGGAAATTCATCTTCCAGAAGGTCCCAGAGCAGTGGCCACACCCCTGAAAAGACCAAGATGTAAGGTGTCTGCTGTTGATTCCAGCTTCCACCTCAGTGACAGTGCAAGCTCAGTGAACTGTTCAAGGTAAAAAAAAATTAAAACATTTCAGAATTTTTAAGATATTAACAATTAAATAAGTATGTGATTACATCATGACGGAGGCTACTGATTCTGCCCCTGTGACACTTGGTGGTGACGTGTGAGCTGATTCACCTGGAAAATAACTTTTACATTAAATATTTTGTTCTTTGCTATCAAAAGTAAATTAACTAATAACCTGCATTATTGCAGGACACTCAGCAAAATATAGACTCTACACCATGAGGCAGGCACACATTAATACTTATAAGAGCACATAAGGTGAGCAACACCACATATTGTACACTGTCCTGAATTTGTTTTCTTTCTGCATCTCATTAGCCTGGCTGATCACCTGATAACTCCTGTCATCTGGTTATGACAGCATGAGGATGTCCTCACACACCTGTAACCTATCAGCTCATCTGGCAGAATAGAGAGAAGAGACAACACCACATCTCCTGTTCCTGGAAAGCCTTCAGCCATCCTTCGATGATTGAGAACCTCCATCAGCTCTGTCTCCTGTCTGCCTACAATTATTATAATAAATATTGTGTTTGACAAGTTTTTTGTGCTGCCAAATATCTCATTTAGATTTCAGTTTTGATATTTTAATGGATATTTATAAATTACATTGATTATCACATTTTTGTTGCATGCTTAACTAGCTCTATTGTGATGAATTAAACTAGCACCTCACTGTTAAAAGCTCCTTTTAATTTCAAGCATGTTTATGTATTTGTGGACATGAACAAAAACAGGAAATATATAAATTGAGATTTATTTAATTAATATAACAAATAAGGGGGAAAGAGTCATTGAAAGGCACATTCTTCTCGAACCTCCTGATCCTGACGACACCAGCAGAGGAGACCACCTGCAGACACCAGAGACCAGCTGCAGACACCAGAGGACCTAGAACCGAGAGAGCAGCTGTTATTAGTAAATAAATAAAGAAATCAGGGCAGTTTTAGTGGGCTGAACACATTACAGAATAATTTTCTCATGGGGTATTTTCATAACTTTATATGCAGCAGACTGTAACTTGAGCCCAGGGCTACCGGAGACCTGCTATCCAGCACGTTTCAGTGGATTTTCCTGCTTGAACAGGTTAGATTAGCTGTTAAGCAGCTCAGCTATTTGTTGCTGATTAAAACCAGGTGTGCTGAAGCAGATAAACCTCTAAAACATGCTGAATACTAGCTTTTTAGGGCCGTGGGGCCAAACACTGCAGCTAATCCAATGCTATGGCTAACGGCTACTTACCGTTCAGAGGTGGTTCTGTTGGGTCGGTTCTGGGAGTTTCAGGCAACTCACAAGCTCAAAACAATAAGACTCAGGTCCGCTTGTCTCCTCCAAATAGACTTGGTCCCTTTCTTCTCGAGTGTCTGGGTAAGGAGGGGAGAAACGTCCTCCACTTCTAATAACTGCTCAGAGTAAAGGGAGCTAGCTTCGTCTAGTTAGCCGCCGTCTTTGTCACTGCCGCAGCTCCGCCCTCTCGGTCCTGCAGGCAACGCCTACTAATGTTGCATTTTTTAAAATTGATACGTGGGTGGCGAAGGACTCCGAGGCTCAATTGACCTGCTCTTTAAGGATTTTGACACTTTAAACCTCATCATTGTGGAAAGAGCAGCTCCCTATCCCCGATTTTTAAGGGGAGAGAAAGTGACAATAAGGGCCAGGCGACGTATGCTGAAATGATAAATACACAGCTGAAACGCCCCGAACAATTCGACATTACTGCGCGACACAGATTTGGGATCCTACTACGTCCTGGAATAAGCTTGTGTATTCGGGCCCTCGTAATAGCGGACTCTAAAGGCGTTGAAAATATATGTATCTACCTTATAAGCTTCTTATATATTTACCTTATAAGCTCATTTGTATTACTCTATTCTATGGACACTTGCTCAGATACTCAAGGCCTCTACACAAAGATTTACAGCAGCATGTTCTGTTCTGCAACCTTGAAGGGAGTGAGCAAATTCCAGCTCCTCTCACTTTCCTCTCGGCACCGGTGAAATGTATCTTCATGTATCAGGATGTTCCTAGTAATCTCAAGGATGCATGTTCTAGTGATGTATTAAACTGTCCGCTAACAAGGCTGTTATTTTTTACCTGTCATGACCAATGACGTATGTACATGGCAAACTGCGTATGTAACATTCCTGTAATCTTCAATAAAAATCAGCCGTTTTCAGCAGAACGGCGAGAGTCTGTCCGAAGCAACTGACAGGAGCAGATCGCGGGACCTGCTGAATGTTGCAAAGGCTCTCCCCCTCATGAGCGGTGAAAAGTGACTGGACTTCTGATCATTTGACTCCACATTCTGCCAACTCAAAAGGTGTTTAACTCCATCTTCTCCATACCCGTGCTTGGTCTAACAGAAGAAAGACCAACAAATTTGGCGTCACGAACAGGATTTTTTCTTTTTGAAGAAAAAGGAGTTTTTGGAGGACGATTTGACCAACCGACCCAGTGAACGATCTTGGCACAAAAACACCGCGGTGAAACACAGGTAAGCAGAACCTTCTTTGTAAAATCTGCTCATTGGATTTATCCAAAGCCTTTGTGTCCAGAATCATAGTAGCTGTGGTCCTAAAATAATAGTTGGAGAAGAAGGTGGAGACAAGTGCAGAAGAAATAAGAGATTTTTGTAATGGTTTAATGGTAAAATAAGATAAGGATTTTTTACAATGGTTTAATGATAAATGAGATAAGGAAATAGTACAGAAGAAGGGTTGGAGGCCCAGGGTTATTAGAGAAGCCCTAAATTCCATTTTCCAGGTCGTGGCTGACCACACTATTTGCTGACGAGTGAATAGAAATATAACGAGGTTATATAACGCTTGGCAAGGATTCCATAGGGGGTGGGAACCCTAAAAGTCCACAGGTCGAGGACCTGGTTCGGGTTAAGGCCCTGGGAGGCTAAAGAGAGCTCCCTAAATTTTAAAGCACAGGTCGAGGACCTGGTTCGGGTTAAGGCCCTGGGAGGCTAAAGAGAGCTCCCTAAATTTTAAAGCACAGGTCGAGGACCTGGTTCGGGTTAAGGGCATGGGAGGCTAGAGAGAGAGCTCCCTAAATTCTAAAGGTCGAGGACCTATGCATGAAATGAGAAAAAATTTTCTAATGTACAAGGTCTGGGACCTTTTATGAGATAAAAGTAAAAAAAAAAAATAAAAAAAAAGGCACAGCTGTAGAGAAGCTTCACTGTGTGTGTAAGCTGAGTTCAGCCTGTGCGTGTGTGAAGCACAGCAAGAGGCTGCTTACGGCTCTGGATTGAAAGTGCAGCACTAGGAGAGTGCAGAATGCAGAGCCGAGTTTTGGGAGCTCCGTGTGTGTGTGTACAGCGCTGGATGTGTGTGTGAAGGCCTGATGCGGTACCAGAAAATAAATAAATAAGATAAATAAGAGCTTTAAAAAGTTGCAACTCTTATATGTAAATTACACTGCAGTGCTAAAATTAATGTTTGGAGCTACGCAAAATTCAAATTCTGCAACCCTGTTCTGATCAGTCTTTGAACAGAACACCATAAGTTAATAAATAAAAGGTTTTTAAAGTAACATATGTATATGTATGTGTGTATGTATGTATATGTGTATACATATATCAGGGTATATACAGCAATCCTTAAGTAAAATTTACTACTTTTTAATACTTTTTTTTACTACCTTCAGAATTTTTTTGAAACCATCACAACACTAAATTGCAAGTGTTAATCAGCGACCTATTTACACATATTTTAACATATATAACATACAAAAAGAATAGACTTAGAGACTCACTGATGTTGACAACGTATTGCACATATTTATTTTACTTAGAAAATAAGCCAGGCACTTCTTTTCAGCGGTTCAGACAGTTGACCACGAGGCCTGAAATGATGCACAACGACCACTGAATATGACGTCATCATTATGTGACCGGATATGCTAAAGTAGGGCTGCTCGATTATGGCAAAAACAATAATCACGATTATTATGACTGAAATTGAGTTCTCGATTATTTAAGACGATTTTTCAATTTATGTAGATTTTTATTTTTTTATTTTTATTCAGTCATAAAACTGCTCAGGGCACAATCAGGGCAAAAATAAACAAGAAACAAGATGATCACTAAAATAACTCCTGATTCCCAGTATAAAAAGACCAATATACTTATAGCTCATAGTTTATGACCCAGGGGCTATAGACCTTGGTTTAACTCATTTAAGTCTAACCAGTACAGACCCAAATACCAATATCTTGCAAATACTGACAGCAAGAATTATACTGTGGCATTTATAACAAATACATGCAAATTGCTGTTCACTAAATGTTGCATAACATTTATTGAGTCGTGTCAAGGTGCTGTAGGAGAGTGCACTAGCACCATGTCCTCAGAGAGATTAGTTATTATTTATCAGCGTGAGGAACTTATTTCTACCTTATTTATAAACTATTTATTTACAAGTCCATCAGTTAATGTAATAATTGTCCCAACCACAGCTGCACCCCCCACCCCCAACCCGGTCTCACAGCAATCAGGGGCAGCTGCACGTGTTTAGCACGCCGCACGCGCACATTTAGCCGTTTTTATCGGCTCAGGAGTCCGCAGGTACGGTGTGTGTCACTCACTCTGGTTAATCCAACAGGGAGCCGGCCCTGAGAGCTGTCTTTAGCGACCGACACATCACTGCATCATTCCCTTTCCTAATGTCCTGAAGAACGGTCCGGAGCGCAGGCGGAGTGTTTAGCTAACCTGCAGGAAATGTCGACGACAGTTATCCAGAAAGTAGCTAAGGGTTACCAGAGATGTTTCTGAGGTGTTCGCTAGGTACTTTTAAGATTTAAAAAGTCAAGAAGGGGGTCTGAGAAGCTGTTAGAAATAGCGTCAAAGTCGCCAAGTTAACTTGGCAACA